GTTTACGATCATGTTTATGTAATGTTTAGTTTATTCCGGACTTCGGTCCGATGCAGCGGGCAAGGCCCTAGTTATTCCGGACTTTGGTCCGATGCAGTGGGCGAGGCCGTAATTAGTCCTGACTTTAGTCCGACACAACGGGCAAGGCCCTATTTATTTTGGACTTCGGTCTGATGCAGTGGGCGAGGCCTTAGTTAGTCCGGACTTCGGTCCGATGCAGTGGGCGAGGCCCTAGTATTTACTTTATATATTATTGTATGGTATGTGGTAGTTTGGGGGAGCTCACTAAGTTTCGTGCTTATAGTTTTCAGTTTTGGTTTAAGGTACTTCTACTAGCAAAGGGAAGGACTCGGGATGATCGCATGACACACACCACAATCTTCAGCCTGGGAGTTTTACTCTGATATTTTGATATGACATTTGATATGTGATAGATATTGTGAGATTTTGAAACACTTGGTTGTTGATTTTATACTTTGGTGATGAAATGATGGTTTTAATGATGTTTAAAAAAAAACGAAATTTTTGAGTTGCATTTTTGGGATGTTTCATGATGGGTGGTGGTGGTTGGTGGTGAGTTGTGGTAGTGGCAGGTAGTGGTCACAGTGGTGGGTAGGTGGTAGTGATAGGTGGTGGAGGTGGATAGTTATGGTGGGTGGGTGGTGGTGATGGTGGTGGGTGAGGTTGGTGGTGGCGGGTGGTGGTGATGGGAGGTGGTGGATGATGGTCGTGGTTGGCAATGGTGAATGGTGGTGATGATGTTGGGTGGTGGGTGGTGGTGGATGGTATTGTTTGGGTGGTGAGTGATGTTGGTTAGTGAAATTTTTAAAAATTTTTTATTACTTATTTATTGGTTTATATTAATATTAGATGATGATTTTTATTTTAAAAAAAATATAGGGATGAGATCGGTTGAGAACTCATAGTTTCCCGAGAACCTGAGAAGTAAAGGTGGAACGTTAGATCAAAATGAACTCATTAAGGGCATGATCGTCATCTTACCAATCTCATTTAATGTTTAATTTTTTTTGTTATTGGAAATATTAATAAAATGTTCTAAAAATTAACATAATAAATCGTTATTCATTTTTTTAAATAATTTTCGATTTTTTTATTAAAAAAATGGAGATTTTTTACTTTTTTTAGAAAACTTGAATTTAAAAAAACAAAAAATTTAAAAGTTGCAATTCTTTTTTTCAAAAAACATCATTTAAAAAAAACTGCATTTAAAAAAAAACTGCAACTTTAAAAAAAAACTACATTTTTTATTAAAAAAAACTGCAATTTTTTAAAAAAGTAGATATTTAAAAATCAGTAAATTAAAAAAACTAGAATATTTAAAAAAAAACTCTAATTTTTTAACAAAAAAGAAAAATCAAAGTTTTAGGTGCATATATGCATATTTTTTCAAATGCATATATGCATTCTTATACTATAATATTCGTAAATAAATTATAAAAAATCTAATTTTTATTAATCAATCTATAAACATAATAATACAAGAATTTTATTTGATACAAAATAAAATATAAAAAATATAAAATGCTACAAAGATTTACAATGTTGTCATTTCTTCATATCAAAATTTCCATATAATAAAAAATGCTACAAAGATTCACAATGTTGTCATTTCATCATATCAAAATTTTCATATTTTCTTCAATGTATCACTTTTCACTTCTTCAATATTTTCCACAAATTCTTCAAAATCTACAATGAAATAAAAAAATTAATTAATGCAAGAACACTCAAAAAATGCACATGTATATATATCATGTAAGATTCACATGTGATTATATCATGTAAGATTCACATATTGATTATATAATGTGATATTTACATGTGATTGTATATTTTAAGATTTAAATATGAAATTGACAAGAAAATTTTAAAAAAATAATTAACGAAAAACACACACACAAAATACATGTGTAGATATAGACGTAAATCATATGTGATTTACATATGAATCACATGTAATTTATATGTTATTCACTTGTGATTTAAATGTGAATCACATGTAACTAATATGTCATTCACTTGTGATTTACATATGAGTTACATATGATTCTTATGTGAATTCATATGTGATTTACATGTGATTCATATATGAATTACATGTGAATCACAATAATTCATATGTGAATTACATGTAAATTACATGTGATTCATATATGAATTATATGTGATTTACATATGAATCACGTGTAATTCACAGTGTTGCAGAAATCGGCCTAACCGGACGATTAATCGCTAATCGAACCTCAACCGATGAGATTTACTGTTAATCGGTCACTATAATTGGATTTGGTCAATACAGGTCAAAGTCGGACCTAATCGGCCCTAATCGGACCTAATCGCCGATTAATCACTTTTTTGTAGGATTAAAATTAGATACCAATTTTTGAATAATTTTATTGATAATTAATGTCCCCGGTTAATCTCCCGATTAATCCCCACCTAGCTGATTAATCCATAATCGCTAGTCCACCAATTAGCGGCCGATTAACGATTTCTGTAACAATGGTAATTCATATGTGATTCACTTGTGATTTCCATGTGAATAACATGTAATTCATATGTGAATTACATGTAATTCATATGTGAATTACATGTGATTCACTTGTGATTTACATGTGAATTACATGTGATTCATATGTGAATTATATGTGATTTACATGTGAATCACATGTAATTCATATGTGATTCACTTGTAATTATTAGGAGTCATGCAATGAGAACTTATACACAATGCAATAGCAATTGTACATTTCATGGAACATAAAGTTTCAAGCATTTTAATTGAAAGTTATTTATTTAAATTATGAGATTTTACCTGAGGGTGTTTCGTTAGGAAAGGTGCAAGTCAAAACCTCCAACAAAGTCGACATTTTCAGCCGGAATTCACGGCCTGAAAAAATTACTCATCTAATTCTTTAATAATCTCCAAAAGGTCCTATTAGAAAAGAAGATAAAATAAACATAAACAAAAATCATCTTGCATCAGCCAATCAAATCAATAATAATTAAACTATCTCACGATTAATAGATCCACCAATGTCTCATGTCAATTTTCACTCAAAACTTCCAAAAAAATCTCAAATTTTGTTATATGGATGAAATATATGATTTTTATATATTTTCAGATTGCACGACAATAATAAAATACCAAATTGCTCATAATCTCTTTCAGAAATGTACTTCTGTAATGAAAATAAAAAAGATTAATGGATCATGAGATATTTTTCTATAACAAAACAACACAAAAAGGTTATAGTTCCTTACCAACATAATGTTTCCTAATTTTTATGTAACAAAAGATTCAACTTTTTTACTTTCCAATACAACACCAACTTAGAATATATATATATATATATATATATATATATATATATATATATATATATATATATATATATATATATATATATATATATATATGTACACTAGTCGTTTACCCGCGCTAAGCGACGGGTGTGACAATGGTGGTTGAATGCTGAAAGATGAATTAAACCCTAGAAATGGAAACGTCAGCGATATATATATATATCCAAGATTTGTGAACAGAAATTGCGAGATTTGGGGAAATACGGAGATAAGGAATGAACCGGGTCAAAATAGACTAAGAATAGGGGATAAGAGATTTGACATTTTCAACTGTTGACCATATGTACTCTACTCTTTTTGTAATGCATAAATTGATTGTACAAATGCATTGTATGTTTGTACAACTTAAAATTCAGCATTTGACCAAAAATGCTTTATAAGGTAATTAAGATATATATATATATATATATATATATATATATATATATATATATATATATAGAGAGAGAGAGAGAGAGAGAGTGAGTGAGAGAGAGAGAGGGAGGGAGAGAGAGAGAGAGAGAAAGAGAGAGAGAGAGAGAGAGAGAGAGAGAGAGAGAGCACCAAGATCAATTACAAGTCCCATAAACTGGAAAAGTATGTCTTTTTATTCCAATTTCAAAATGAAAAAAAAAAGATTGCAAAAGTTCTTACTATTGTTCCAGATGATGTCAAGAGCATAAATCCAGATATTGTTCCAGAATGATAAGAACTTGCTAAATATCCATGATCAATATTTTAATAATTGCTTGAATCTATTACATTAAAAAACCAAAGCAAAATCAGATTTTGTTGGACAACATAGTAGTTGAGTTTCTCCATTGGTGTAATACCTCAATATGTTGCAACCATAACCATTCCAAACATTTACATGATATCTCTTTTTTACAAAGTCTCATTGATTTATGATCCTTTTCTTTTTACTAAATTAATCCAGACAGCTATTATGATTTTCTTTTTTACTTAATCTTAATATGGACACAATGTATTAATAAGTTAAGTAAAAAAACTAGGATTAATGTATCAAGACACTAACTTTTAACATATTTGATGAATATAAAAAAATAATAACTCAAAGTGAAGTTAACATGTGATAGTTAGTACCTGTGTGATATTTAATGTATCCAGTCATACAACACTATAAAAAAACAATAACTCAAATTTCAACCACTTTAGGTAGGATGATATAGTTAGTACCTGTGTGATGACTTTATTGGCAACGAGTTCATCGATATTTACGATGTTGACTTGGACAAAATCCTAAATTGGAATTGGTTCATCATTCATGAAATCAAAGTGAAGTTAACATGTGATATTTCTCATTGAGGCATTTCATCAAATATGTTGAGTGCAAACAAATATCTATATTTTTCAATAACACATGTGATTATTTTTATACCTGCAATCAACACAAGGATTTAACTCTTTTTAAAAACATATAGACTAAATAGGTTCAAATTAATAATTAGGCAAAAACAATTCATAAAGGTCAAACAAAGATAAGGAATGAACAATAGAAACGGATGATACCTAAATTTTCATCAGCATGTACCAAATTTAGAGTGAGATTCAAGCTCATAAAAATCTGATCTTGGAGGTTAGGCAGATAGAGACCCTTGCCAGATCGAAGTGATCTACAAATGTGATTTGACGATTACTATTGCAATCGAAGATGTAAATGAACGACGTCGATCTCTTAGCTCGTGGATTCGTTGTCGATGAAATGAAAGATAAGGATAATGGATCAGTAAGTCGTTGTTCATCATCAGAAGAGGTAGAAGTGGTGGATGGAAGGTGGAGGAAAGTGGTGAGAGATTGTTTCCAATGGTGGGAGGAGTAAAGGCAGAGGTAGTAGACCTGGAGAGTGAAAAGGTGATTGTTTGAACAGAGAAAATCCGTTCAGATCTTCAATCAACAGAGGACACTGAGGTGAGGTCAACGATGACAATGAACTCCAGCGAACTGATGATGGAGATGTAGAAGGACGTGAGAGTTACAGTGAGGGAAAGAGAGAGAAATAGTGTGTGTTTGGTATATAAACTAAATTAATTATTAATTGTTAGGAAATGATATTTTTAATTCAAAATATGCCCCTACAATTCCTTATAAAATGTCTTTGATGCCATTAAAACAAGTGATAATTACAATTATGCCATTAAAACAAGTGATAATTACAATTATGCCATGATCAATCCAAGTCATTCAAAATTTTGATCTAACGCTCCACCTTTAGTTCTCAGGTTCTCGAGAAACTATGAGTTCTCAAATGATCTACCTTTATATATATATATATATATATATATATATATATATATATATATATATATATATATATATATATATATATATATATATATATACACATATGGATCTTGTTATCTTCTCTATCATCTTTACAATTCTGGTTACCACCGGTCATTTTTTTATAATATCAACTCAACCGTGGAAACTTTATGAGTTATTTTTTTTTTATCCTGTCATCTTGTAAGCACGAGCTAAATCATATTGGGAACTGACACCCACAATGCTCTTTTAAGGACTAATTAATCGTTAACATAACCCTTGTTGTCATAATCTATTCCGGATTATATTTATTGATTTAATAACAACTCGGTCAGGAAGAAATTCATATTTTATAACAAGATATTATGCACAATATGAATGCTGTTTTATATATAACACATAGTTTGAAAATTTAAAATTTCATAGGGAAAATCATTTTGTATGTGTTTTTTTGTTAGAAAAAACAGTTGGGAACTTATTATTAAGTTCTAAACTTACCACTTTGTCGAACATGATGAGTATTTTTGTATTTTTCTCAAGGTATCTCAATCCTACTCTATTTTGAAGTTTACCTTCAATCTATAGAGTGTAAAATAGAGATAATTCTCTAACCCAACTCTATTTTACAATCTATAAAATCTATAAAGAAAGAAATGAATAGTATCTCTTTAAATTTAAAGTGTTAATATTCAAATATAATCTTGTTTATTATGTTTTAACTGATTTAACTTGTTTTAATTGTGTGTTTATATACTTTGAATTTTTCTTTATTAATTTATTCTTGTGTTTATATAATCCGATACCATATTTAATTAATTGTCAAATTGACATACATAAATATTTTATAAAAATTCGAATAGACATGCACAGTATTTTACAAAAACTCAAATTGACATAATATAAATTTGTCATAACAAAAATATGTTAGAAAATATATAAAACATTGTAATTTGAAGGGTATTTAAAAAACTCTAATAAACTTGGAGAATATAAGAAATATTCTCGAAATATGCTTTTTTAAGGGGTGTCTTGGATGCTTGTTTGTTTATTAAAAGTTTTTATTAGCATATGCGGTATTAAAACGTAATAATAAAATGAGAAGTGCTATTAGTTTTTAATGTTTAGCAAATGATGCTTATATGTGTAATTATTAAATAACTTATAAAAAAACTCCTTCAATATCTAACAGGGGTATCTCCTCTAGTGGATTTTATAGGGGTATTTCTTCTCGTGGACCTGGTGGCTGGAAGTTTCACGGCGGGACATGCTATTTTAAAAGCAGCTACAGACAAAGTTACCAAACATGAGAAATCGTGCATGGAAAATTAAGATGTGTTCATATCATTTGCATTTGATACGTTTAGTTTCATCATACCGGATGCGGTAGAGCTTCTTAAAAGAGTACAACGAATCATGCATAGTAGTGTTATATCCCCTGGATCTTCGGATGTAGTCTTTAAAAAAATTAGTTTTACTATTCAAAAAGACTTAACCCGCACAGCTTGTTGTCTGTTTGCCATCCCAATCATTGTACGATGACAATTAACCCTTGTATCAAATTTATCCTCGGTAGCCGATTGATGCGTTAAAAAAAATATCTAAATTACTAATATCAAACCACAATAATTCAATAAACATTTCAAACAATTCCAAAACACCAGCTACGTGTAAAAAGCAGAATTGGAGTTCACTCAAAACTATATCTTAATTTATATAAATAAAGTGTAAAGATATGTATGGTTGAAGATGCTTGTGCGGTTATTCTCGTGAAATATAACCAAGTTGCAAACAAAAATATACACAATCATTATAGCTTTGGGTCCACAAAAGAAAAGTGAATGAATTCTTTTATTTCAAATCAATCGAATTGTTATCCTTTGGAACATGCATGAACTCTCACACTAAACCTTTAAGTTTCAAAAAATCCCCCCAATTATGTAGGGATACAAAAAAACCACTGCTGGTTACAATAACTCTCAGTGCCACCCCTTACATCTTATGTCGTAAGTAACATAAAACCGAAAACATGCATCCATGTTTAGCTTCCCTTGAATCCATATATATACCCCGATGCTTAATTATTACTTGGAATTCTATGCTTACGCTTTGGAAGATCCTGACATTTGAATCTCATCGTCATCATCCCAATTGGTGGTGCTGTAGTAGGTTGCATACAGTACGAGTTGAATTATAGACGAGATACTCCCTAGAGCATTTGGAACCTGTTGGTGTACGTAAAAAAATCCAAGACAAACGATTAACTAATATCATAAAAATGTCATAAGAACAAAAGAAATGTCGTTGGTGAGTTTGGAAAATAATATATTAAAGCTTACCAAGATGTAGGGATCAAATTTCAGCAGAGCATAACCACACCAAACAATTGAGTTAGCGAAGCTAGCAAGCGCCAATGGGAATGGCATGTACTTGACACTTTTTGTCTTAATCACCATTCTCTGTTTCCATTACATTGTATTTCATCAGTTACTTGTATATATGAACACTGAACAGTAATAACTTTAAGTAAAAACAGTGGTAAAATAGAAAAGGAAAGCTTAATTACCATAACAGTCAATGGAGACGCATACATAAGAATGTTGAAAACGATGCAAATTAATCCAACAACCATAGATCTTGATTCGTATGTGTGGAAGCACATCAATGTAACTACGACAACTCCAGCAACAAAAATGACCTCGAAAATGAGAACCATCAAGAGCTTTTTCTGCATATTTGTAACGTTTTTAAATGTTTAGTATACACACATACAAGAAAAAAAGAAAAAGAAAGAACGGAGTTAATTATGGGGGGGGATGATTGTGTGCATACTCGACCACCCCAAGTAGAATAGGTGAAGAAGATCGTGATGAAAACAGCTTCAATGATGAATCCAGCACCATTGATTGTAATGATCAAAAGACTATCAGGATGAACGATTGGGAGACCATAGAACATCCACACTGAACAATTGAGAAGAGTGGCAACATAGGGATCTGGCTTATAGGCTTGGACTGATTTTGCCTTGATAATCCTCAGAAATGTTGGGCTGTAGATTTTAAAATAAATTACAACAAAGTTTCGGCAACGAAAGATGTGTCTTGAGATACAAATTTTACAAATTTGGTTGAATAAATGAAAAACAAGACCAATTGTGTGACAATCAAAAGGATGGAGGTGCTTTGTCATTTCATGAAAAAAGTCACAACCTTTTAGAAAGTAATTATTAAAGAGAATGAGAAATTACATAGGGGAGAGAAAGAGAATGCCGGATATAATGTTCCCTGCGAGCACAAAATGCACAGAAGTTAGACAAAAAATAGTAAATTCGTATTCAAAACTGCAATTCTTTGTAAAATAATGTAAGATAAAAAAAAAAAAAAAAAAGGACAATGCCATGATCTGACACCTGTACTCAAGTTACGTCATAAAGCTATAACACTAAGTCACTAATTCAGTGGGTTACGTAGATCTGAGTTGGAAAGGCATAGTATTTGTATGAAAAACTGTAAATTTTCGTAAGCTCATTACCATGTTTGAAAAAATATTTGAAGTTTGTAATTATGAAAGATTTGTGTAGTGAAATAAGAAAGATATACATGCATCGAGCAAAATGAAACATCAGTATGAAAGATTTATACCGAGTACTCCTACGAGAGTTCTTAGATGATCGGTATCCATCTTATTGTGTTTCAAGCAGCAATCGAGAGAAAAAAACACAGAAAGGGTGGAAAGTGATGATCAAATTGCAGAGATATTAAATGGAAAACATCTGCAAATAAAAAGTGTAAGTGACAAAAGATTTATTGGAGAAGATGGAATGAAACTTATTTGAAAAACAAGTTGAATATTCTGGATGATGAACTTATGTGTAAGACTGTACTTATAATGGGATACTGCACCAGAAAATGAGTCTTTATTTAGAAAGTCAAAAGACACACCCTATGCTTTCGTCATAATTCTTTGATCTGACGTGTTTTTCGTGTACTGTAATTTTCGATCTCTGTGTGTTTCTGCATGAATTTTTTTTTCACAGATTATTATTTGCAGTTATTCATGCACTACCATTCACGTGTTTAGTCACGTAGTTGTGGTCAACACTGCATAAATACGTTCCAATTATATTTCTTGCATGTTTTTTTTTTCCAGGTATTGTGATGTACTTTTTTTACGTTTATATGTACTTTTCTATGTTTTTAATCAAGTAATATTTATGACCACAGGTATGACACAAATATATTTTCCAAACCAACGTCAATATATATTCTTGTGGTATATTTCACTTAAAACCCGTATTGTGTTGATCTTCATTTATAAAAAAATAAAGGTCGAGAGAATTGGGAAAGACCAAAGCGCAATATATATATGCTGCCAATAACAGTAGCATAAACATACATTTAGACTTTGAAAGCCTTCGACTTAGATGATCAGTAGGGACTTAGGCTTTAAATTCTTTTGGTTAGTTACTAGATAAAAGCGGGGAATCAGTTTATCCTTTTCAGAGCATCTGTGTTCACTTTCCCAATGAAAATTTTGTTTCCGTTGTTATTATTGCACATTATGGGTTCTTTTTGATCGACACTTTTTCTTTCTAGCTAGAAAAGCAATTTAGGCTCACGTGGAGATTGTTTTGCCCTTTGTATTTGACACATCATGCTAAAATCCGTGTAGCAACATTTAAGTGATGTCTATTTCATGGTGAAATCTAATGTGTAGGATTGAGGTTTAAAGCAATACAACAGCATAAAATAACGACAAAAGGGAAACAAATAATAATTGACATAAAGCAAGGCTAGTCTAATCGTCAATTACAACAAATTATCTTTATCTCATACCAAAAGTAGCAAAATAATTTTAATTCCACATCGTCTCAGTGACACGCTATATATATATATATATATATATATATATATATATATATATATATATATATATATATATATATATATATATATATATATATATATATATATATATATATAGGGTTAGGTTCATGTGAGACGGCTTAATTTTGTGAGACCGTGAGACGAATTTTTTAATTTTTAATTTTTAATTTTTTTTAGTTAATTCAAGTTCCGAAAATAATATTTAAAAAAAGATTTTTTTTTTATTTTTCCATTTATTTTGCATTTTAAAATTATTTTTTAGAATATGTCAGTGTAATATTCTATTTAGAATATTTCACGTATTTTTTTTAAAAAAAAAAACGGGATTTTTTTTATTTATTTTTATTTTTTTAGTTAATTCAAGTTTTGAAAATAATATTTAAAAAAAAAAATTTGGATTTTTTCATTTAGTTTGCATTTTAAAATTATTTTTAGATTTGGTCTTACGGTCTCACAAAATTAGAATGGTCTGAAATGAACCTGAACCTATATATATATATATATATATATATATATATATATATATATATATATATATATATATATATTATTTTGTTTCTTACATTTATTGTGTGCCAGAATGCATAGATCCGGATCATCGGATTGAATATAATCAATGGTCATGATCTGAGAGTTTATGATATTACAATGGGATAACATGTATCATATAATCACACAAAATTCAGCATAAGGGTATTTTGAACAATTAACTATATTTAAAAAAAGGAAATTTTCGGATTTTTAGGGATAAGTAATTCTCCTAATTTTATAAATCCGGATTTTTTATATTAATTCAATTTTAATTCTAATGTAATTTGTAAACATAACCGATTTTATTCCGTCAGAATGTTTTTTTGCTAAATGATGTTCTTTCCGAATTTTATTCTATTAGAATATTATTGAAGAATACATAATTCTTGAATCCCCAGTTGAAAAATAACAACATTCTAATATATTTTTATACATTCAAACTTAAATTTAAATTCTTATACATTCTAACAGACTAATAGTCTTGTACATTTTAATATAATTATATATATATTCTAAAAGAGTATCAATAAAAATGAATTAAATTCTTAAAAAATAAAACATTCTTAAATTGTGAGTGTAACCAATCTTTTATTCATTCTTTAAGTTATTTCTATCATATCTTCAACCCATTATTCCATCCATTCCTATCACAAATACAAAAAAAACGAAGAATGGTTAAAAGCATGTTACTTGTTAATAAACATTCTTAAAGAATTCTGACAGAATGCATTTATACAAATAAATTCTGACAGAATATGTCACAGAATACACTTAAATCATATTATTTTCTTCTATATAACAAAAAAATACATCACAATTTTTTTTTTTTACCTTTCCTATCTTGACAAATAAGGAGATTGAAATCTAAATTTGTCAGAATAATAGACATCAAATTGACGAGTGTTACTAACCTGATTCTAAAAGAATATTGTGTTTTCCCATTCCATTGTTTATGTTTTGGTTTTTGGTTATATCCATCAAAGACCTATTGAATACATACAAGCATGTATATACACATCAGATCTTGTCAAGTGAAATACAAGTAGCAGAATACATTCTGCTATAATACACCTAGCGTGTAATAAGATAAAGCACAACCGAACACATTAACACACTAAACACACTAACACGCTAATCACATTCACCTAAAATCAATCATATACAAAATCAATCATGAGATAATGCACATCCAAACCCACCGATCTAACAAATTGTATATATTATATCAAGTTCTCTTTTAGACATTTTCACAAACACCTTACATGCAATAAGATAAAGTACAGCCAAGCACACTAACATACTAATCAAATTCATCTAAATTAATCACATACAAAAACAATCATGAAATAAACGATTAGATTTACAGAAAGGGGGAAAGGACAAAAAGGGAAAAGGGCTAATGCTTATAGAAGCAACAATATTGTACTCCTCAATTGTCTTGCACCTGAATAAGCCACCAATTCCTGTCAAATGAAACCAAATCTTGTTTACAACCCAAAAATCTAAAAACAAAGTCAATTAAATTTAAAACAACCATTACAAAGTCTTGATGTCCAGCTCTGTTGCCTCCCCGAGTCATTTAAAGGAAAATATTATGAAAGTGGAGAAAATTAATTGAACCAGTTTAATGAATGTTGAGTACCTTTTGGAGAAATTGTTGTATGATATGAAGGAGATCTTGTTCTTCTCACGAGAAATCGTAACCGAATCACCGAGATTACCAGGTTTACCACCGGCTTTGATTCTCTCTTGAAGAAACTTCTCGAGTGAGGCTATCTCTATAATCTTATCGTCGACAGGCTTCCCACAATCAATCACAAAAGTCGCTCACTTCTTTCCCCCCCTTTGCTCCGGTACCTCCTTCTTGACTCATCTTCACTTATTTTTCTAAATCTCCCTCTACAAACAACAACAATAAAATCAACAAATCGCAAGCTTGAATAACAATTTCCAGATGTCTGAAAAGGATCACATACAAAGAAGGATAGAAGATTGGTTGTGCGTGCTTCGAAGACGACGAGCTGCAACCTATGAATGTGAAGAAAAATCGGTCGTGTTCTTTTGTAGGAGGATTGGTAGACGTGATTTAGGATTTACGTTGAATAATTCTTGTCATTTTAAATAATGGATGTGAAGCAAGAGTAATTATTAGTTTCCTAATTTGATTTACTAATTTACTATACTACCCGTATTTATTTAATTAATGATGTAAAATTTTCTTGAATTCTTATTGGTGCATGCATGCTCACAATATTTGCTAGAAACATTTGAACCTAGCTCTCTCTCTTTCTCTTTCTCTCTCTCTCTCTCTCTCTATATATATATATATATATATATATATATATATATATATATATATATATATATATATATATATAGAGAGAGAGAGAGAGAGAGAGAGATTAAAAAAAGATATTGAGATTCAACCACAACGATATATATCACATCTACCTCTCCAACCATCCAACGTACCAGCGCATCAAGCATGTTACAATCATGAATGATTATGTAGCACCACTCGTTCTTTTCTCCTCTGCCACCATCCCCACACGTAAAACCGCCACCACCACCACCACTATCACCACCTCTGACACTAGCTGACTCCGTCACTGCTATCTCCGTTACTTATATCACCGCCACCTCTGCCACCACTACCTCTTCTGCCAGTAATTATCATAATTATATATGATTACTCAATCTGTGAACACACACACACACACACACACATATATATATATATATATAATCATTTATGATTAGGCATACCTCGTTGTTGCCTGTACGCTAGAGCGTTAGAGCGACAAATAAAAAATATATGGTTGAAGTTGAATCTCAAAATCTCTATTTTTTTTTTAATCTCAAATGAACCGTCATATATATATATATATATATATATATATATATATATATATATATATATATATATATATATATATATATATATATATATTTCCATAGGTACTTTAAAGCTTTAACTTTTATTTTTTTAAATAAGAGAAATGTTATTCAATCACTCACAAGGAGCTAGTAAAAAAAGAAATTAGAATTACAAAGTAAGAGATGTCTACAATAGTCTTACTTAGGATATCCATAATATGTTGAACTCTTTATAGTTTAATAGATTAATACATCATTTATCTAAAATACATACAACAATACTATTTCTTTTTTCTTATAATATATTGAACTCTATAATGTTTAATGAGAAATATTTTTAAAAATAGAAATCGTTTATTATAAACTTTTATTTTTTCCATTTAAGAGTTCAGTGATCATTAAAACCTATGTTCGTTGAATCGCTAGTATAATATATCTCACAATGATATAGTTTAATCTATTGATGTTAATTAGACGTGTCACATCATTCAACTCTCACATTAAAACATTCATTATATATGCTCTTAAAGCATCTCCAATGGAGGTTGTATGAGGGTGATGTGGAGTGTTATGAGTGTTGTATGGGTTGGATGATGGTTAGATGAAGTTGTATAGGTTTTTGAGTTATATGATCATAACATGATTGTATGGATTTTTATTTTTTTATTTTTCGATGATAAATATGAAAATAATATGATAAATATGTGGGGTGAGGTTGACAAACATGATGGTTGTATGGATTTGAGATGTTTAAAACAAAAGTTGTATAGAAGTGGAATGGTGACATGGAGTATTATGAGGGTTGTATGGATTAGATACGCCCTTAAAACATATCCAATGGAATTGTGTGAGGGGTTAGGGTGGTCAAAACTGAATATCCAAAATTTCAAATAACGTATATTGATATTTGAATTCGTATGCGAAATTCAGATATCTAAAATTTTGGATATAAATTCGGATATTAACTCATATATCAGAAAATACTATACTTTCATTTTTTTTTCACTTTATCGGTATACACTAGCTATAAACTAAGATTGTTTTATTTTTCATATGACTAATTAACCAATTAGGTGAAATATTAACTTTCCGTACCAGAAACTAAATGAAAAGGCCCTTTGACATAATCTTCGCACTAAAAACTAGTGAAAATGCATAAGTAAAGTCATCGACCTACATCCAACACTCACCTCTCCTAATCTATTATATTTTGATTTAAAAAAATAATAAAATAAATATTTCAGATATCAAATATCCAAAATATTCGAAATTTAGAGAATGGCTATCCGAATAAAAAATACAAAAAATTAGATATCCGATTATCAAATATATGAAACTTCAGATACTTTTGAATTAGTTTTTTAGGTTTTAGGAGCCAATTTTTGGATAAAGTTACTTTTAAACACCCCTAGAGAGAGTGATATGAGTGATCAGGTGGAATCAAATAAGGATGGTATTGAGTGAGAAATGATGATGTGTATATCTGACCCTCTTGGGTGTATGTCAGCACAAACCCATGTCATGAAAGGGGTTGGATCAACCACGAAAACATAAGGATATAAGGAGGTAGCATGCTTCCACATAGGATTTGTTTTAAGCCACATATGATAAGATGATGATAGCATGAAATTGTAAATTTGTAGGGAGTGGTAACAATTAAATATTATGTTATTTTATTTTGAGAAAAAAGAAAAAAAGGACCAGCCAATTAGAGCCCATTCTCCTTTCTTTATCTTACCTTTCATCTCGCTACCGGGGTATTGTACAAATCCTAACGAGCAGCCTAACATGTTTGTTGGGAGTGGGTTTGACATTCATAACGAGCTGGTGGCGAGTCCCACTCCCTCCAGCCTAAGAATAAAAAACAGAAGTCTTCGTCGGAAGTCATATGCTAAAAGAGAAATGAGTTGTATTATGATAGACCAATATCGTTGCATTTAAGTGGGCCTAACATTTATTTTTGGATTAACTTTTAAAGTAATTGAATGATATACGAAATATGGAAAATGTGTGTGTGTGTGTGTGTATATATATATATATATAAAGTACTAAATTATAAAACATATTAGTTATATCTGGAATTTTAAAAGATATATGTAACAGTTGGATTTGTAAGTTTCATGTTAAGCCCTTCATATTAAAAAGCATGACATTTTGGTCCCTTTGGTTAGTACGCGGTGCGTACCATAGTGTACGCTTTGCGTACACACTGAGGTTTAGTCGCGGAGCTCATCCATGTACGTTGGGCGTACGTGAGCCGTTATGGAAACCTAATTTTAGGGTGTTGCACCCTATTTAAACCTTGTGATAGCCTCACTAGGTCATATTTAGACAACCTCCATCCCACCTGGTCCAAAAAAATCGAACCCTAAGTGCGATCTTGAGAGTTTGAGCCTTAAAGTGTGATTATTAGTGATTTGTGGAGGGAAGAAGAAGTGAACCATTTGGAGTGATGCTTGGAGCTTGACGATCTGAGATTTGTTCTTAATTTTCTATCCTTGTGAGGTAAAAAAACTTCCATCTTGCTAATCCATGATGCTAGATCTATTTTGGTGCCATTATTTGCTTTTTGAGTCCATGGTTTGGTTGTTGAGCCTCTTGATTCACTTTAGAAGTGATTGATGGCAGATCTAGGGTCCTTTAGGTCCCTTTGTCCATAAAAATGTAAGCTTTATAGTATTTGTGGTCTCATGCATGTGTTAAGTCATTTGTTAAGCTCCATTAAGCTCTAAGAGCCTAATTAAGTCATGCATGCACGTAAAGTTGGCAACTTTACGTGATAAACCACCTTAAGGAAGTCAGATCTAAGTGTTGGAGTGAAGTCTACCGTTTAAGAGTTGAATGAGAATGTTGGCCATGTTGGTGGAGTACATTGGGCGTACAAGCCCTAAATCGAGTACATTAAGCTTACGAACTGAGTACGCCCAACGTACTCAACGTGGGCTTCAAACATGTGGGATTCTAGGTATTGGACCATGTTGGACTTTTGTTGTCTTAGGCCTTGTAGGGCTATCACAATTCTCTTGTTGGGCTGTTGTTATTTTATTGGACTCTTTTGATTGAAGGCCCATGAAAGGGTTTGGGTCTAATTTGGAAAATTGGGCCATATTTGGGCTTTGGGTGATTATTTTGGAATTTGGGTATTTGGACATTTGGATTGGGCCTTGGCCTTGGGCTAAGTTAGGGAAAGGGTTGTCACACCCCCAAACCGAGATAGTGGAAACATTCGGGGGCGAATGACATCATGTTCAGTATTACAACAAATGTAGAATAATAAAACAAGCAACAACATCCATTACATTAATAATATAGTGTTTACATTGTATTCAAATCATATATGATTGATTCCAAAAGTAAGTAGCAAAACAAGACTCGAAACTATTATGCTCCATCTTCTAGAATCCTACGTGTGTACCTGTCTACTAGTTTCCTGAGAATACAAGTGATTTTGAAAAGAGAGTATCAACATTTAAGTTTGTGAGTTTATAACCCTAAAATTATACCATTAGGTCTTTACGATAGTAGAGGGTAGTTATTCTCTCACGATTTCTTCTTATAAATTCAATTTTTGTTCTCTGTTTGCTAGCTAAGACATTTAGGAATCATGTATTATTTCATATATGATTGTTCGTTTCTTGATTGATTGTTAAACGAAAGTTCTTGTGGTTTCTAATGAATCTGCTTTATTTGGTATGTTTAGGATAACCTAATTCAGACCTCCAATATATCAGATTATGATCTTTGGGGCTTAGGGGATCTTTTCAAAGCACCTGAACCTATAATTGAACAACCATTAATCATCCTTGATCCTATGACATCTATAATTGCAATGATCACTTGTGGAGAAGAAATCATTTCCCCCCAAGAACTCAAAGTTACAAATATCAAATCACTGCAGAACGAAGTGTTTCTGAATGATGTTTTCTATGAATGTAAAAACATCTTGGCTCAAGAAGCAGCAACAACAGCTAAATCATCACCGTTATATGAAGTCTTAAGTTTTAGTTTCCTGATGGTTACAACAGATGAAAACACAGTCGTAAAGGAGAACGTCCATCCATCATGTCAAATCCCAAAAAGCATGAGCGCTGATAGTTTAAACTAAATGGATTGGATTCAAGGGGCACAAATTAAGCCAAGTTTTCTGAATGTCAGTGAATTAGATTTTGGGAATGCTTATGGTATGCGAAGGGCTTTCAGTGATGGTGACATAAAGGTCATATTCAATTTATTTTCTACATTGATTGTATATGCATATGTGAATAGAGTTTGTATGATTTATTTTAACGTTCTTTATATTCATGCGTAGGTAGCGACGAGATCTACAACTTCCTTTTGACCCCATCGGCTAATTTTCGACCGATTTCAAATTTAATTGTATGAGAAAATTAAATTGTTAGCGACCGTGTAAAATTCATAACTTCTACACACGGACTCCGTTTTGTACTATCTTTTTATCGTTGAACTCCTATTAATGAGATATTCAATTCTCATTTAGGTTGTGTCGGCTAAAAATCGATCGATCTAAAATTCGATTTTCGGGTTGTGCACTGCTAGACTAAATCTTAAAAAAATCACAACTTCCTCATACGAAATCAGATTTGGACGTTCTTTTTATGTACGTTCTCAGTTTAACATATACTACGAATTTTGTTCAGACCCCTAAGGATAAAAAATATTTTATCGTAAACTCACTTTTTACGATTATTGGTATCGTACCGGTTTTGTCGTAATACTTCGATGAGTCATAACTTCTTCGTTATAACTTGGATTTCAGTGTTCTTTATATGTATGAAACCCTTGTAAAATATACTATAACTTGGTTAAGATTATTTACTCTAAATAATATGCTATTAAAAAGTTAGAGTAAATTACTGAAATCATCCCTCTGGTTTGGTCAAAATTGCACATTTGGTCCCTAACTTTTTTTCTACACTCGGATCATCCTTGTGGTTTTATTTTGTTGCGTTTTTGTCCCTATGGTTTGGTAAAAATTGCATGTTTGGTCCCTAACTTTATGTATGTAAGGGACGAAAAATGCAACAAAATCAAAACCACATGGACGAAAAACGCAATAAAATCAAACCACATGGACGATCCGAGTGCAAAAAAAAAGTTAGGGACTAAACGTACAATTTTGACCAAACCACAGGGACGATTTCAGTAATTTACTCAAAAAGTTATTTTTGACGCTTTATTGTCTCTAAATTGACTAACCCGAATCTACGGGTGTTACAATTCGATCCGAACATATTTTATGACGAGGGAGATGCGTGAGGGTGATGGTTTTTTTTTTTTGATAAGTAGGGGGGTGAGAGTGAGAGAGAGAGAGAGAGAGAGAGAGAGAGAGAGAGAGAGAGAGAGAATACGAGGTGGGTGGGTTGGTGGGAGACAAATGATGGTGGTTGGCGGTGTATAGTGGTCGCAGTTAGTGGTGATGATGACAAAAAATGATGGAAGTCAGTAGCAATAGTGGAAGGTAGGGGTGGCAAGGTCGAACACAAGCCTTTTAATTATGGGGGCCAAAACCAAATTTCAAAATAAAAATATGCAAGCAAATTTAATTTATTTAAAATTATAAGAATTGATATGGAATTCTCTAAGAAAATGCATGTGTTATTGTCACAAGTAACGAAGAGCTCATGCAAGATCAAACCTTTAGAAGGTGTAAATGTACTCAAACCCAAAAGTACATCAATATATTATAGATATATTTGGAACTTATTTCATTTGGCTCTGTGTTTAATTGCAAGACTAAATGGGTCAATAATTAAATATAACCAATATTGATATATAGAAATATATTAATAATTGATAATGATTAATAAAAGAACAATAAAATTAACCACTACTAAGGTTAATAAAAGGTTCGGTTATTTGGATCTTTTTTATTTTTTAAAGGACCCTTAATAATTACTTTAACTTTTTTCTTAAAACAAACTAATCATTACTAAATCTTTTTATTAATTATCATTGTATAATATTAGACCCTCGTGATTATTTTATATTTTACTTTAAATAAAACTAATCATTACATAATAAAATGACTCAATATAAAGATTTGTTTATAGAAAAAAATTATTATTTTTATAAAAAAGTATTAAAATAACCATATATTTATTTTTTTTCAAAAATATAAAATAAAATATTTTAAACAAAAAAATTTAATTTATTTTTGGTTTTTTAGTGCAATTTATTAAAATCATTTTTATATGTAAGCATAATAATAAGTGACTTCAAATACGATATAATAATAATACTTAGTTTTCATTTAAATATTTAATATCATTTTATTTTTATTTTTTGGTTTATATAAATATTAAAATATATAGAAAACATTGACATGTTTGTATTATTATTTGATTATAAAAAAGTAAAATATATAATAAATAAAAAGTTTATAGGAATTAAATGATAAGTACGAGTTTCAAAAAAAATTAACTTTTAGTAATCATAAAAGCTATTGATATTATAAATGCATGGAATTTTATGCCTGAAAAATCATTAATGAAGGGTCCTCTAAGAAAATTTAGGATCCAATTAGTAGGACCTGTTAATAAATAGGTAATTACACAGTAATTAACAAATAATACTAAATATTGAAAAATTATTTTGATATACTTTCATTATCACATTTAGAGAAAGTGGGAGCTAAATGAGAGATAAGGATAGTAAGACGGTGTACAAAATTGTGAGAGTAGATATATATGGCTATGTACATACCATGAAATCCAAGAGACTGAGACACTTTCAAGTTTTATCGTAGTGTGATCGATGACTTGGTCTGTGAAGGGCAATGAGGAGATCTTGAGACTGTAAGAGTTGAAAAGGTAAATTGGAAACGACACGAGAAGGCAACCATGTGGTTTTCGGCTAGGTTTTGTCAATTTGAGAGATTGAAATTGTTATCTTTTTGCGGGTTGTATATGATTTATTAGATCTTCCGATATTTATATTTTAAGATTTTATAAGATTTGATTTTCAAAGATTTAAATTATTATTGATTGTGGTTTTTATTAGATTAAGAAAATTAAATTTGTGATATGTGTTTGTTTCCCTCTCAATAAAATAGAGTTATCCGGTGTTTTATATTTGTTTTTTTATGATTATAAATAGAAGAAAGGGATATAAACACTTTCTTCCTCACTTCTTTTATTTTTAGATCTGCCATGAATGACATATCAGAAACTCTCAAAAAAAGACTCGTTAATGGCATAAATATCTATGGACATACATACATACAACTAGTATTAGTAGGCTAAAAAGTTGGGGGACCATGGCCCCCCTAGGCCCTAGGCCCCTTAAAGCCTCGTCACTGAGGGGTGGTATCTTCTTGAATGTGTGTTTTTGTGAGTATGTACATTTATTATTAATAAATGTGTGTGTTCTAGAGAAAAAAGTCACTTAGAGAGACAAAGAGTATGTGTTTGTTGGTGGGTAATTTTTTTTTAAATTTTGATTAATTAAAAGCATTATCATTAAAAAAACAAATCTAAGAGGTATAATAGCTTTTAATAGATATAGACCAAAACCAATAAAAAAAAAATTAAACCACTCATGCACCGTATAACTTTTTAGACCAAAGTCACCGCTTTCTATCCATAAGTACCATAACCCAAAACCTATTTCTTTCAAAATTCGTACACTAAATGCGTTTATGTGCCTAAAACATTTGTCGACAAGTTTCATATTGATTTTCATGATTCTGTGCCAAATTAATCTTTCATTTGAAAGAATTAATTAGTATAAATTATTATATCATTTTGTTATATGTTTCTTTTTTTTTTTTTTTTTTTTTTTTTGGGAAAATCATCATAGAAGGTTTGTTCCATTATGTTTTATTTAATAATCTTTCCATTTTTAACACAAACTCTAACATTTATTTTATATAAATATTTTGCAATGAAAATAGCTAATCAAAGTATACTGTGATCAAAATTTTCTTTTCCAAAACATAGTTGATAATAACACATCTTTTCAACATTAATTGTTCATAAATACTTAATAGATCATATGAATTATATAAATTATATAAAAGGCTCAATGATAGTCAAGTTTGAGCTGGAACCATATCATGAAATTACTTGGACCAAGCTCGAAATTGGTTAGACTAGGGGTAGCTCTTTCCGTTTGTACCTCTGCTCAAACTGCACAAAAACCGCTTAAACCATCCGCGCCAGATTGCACCGTATAGTGCGGTTTAGAGTGTTCGTGGTGCGGTTTATGGTTCCCGAAAATTCCAAATCGCATATGCGGTGCGGTTTTAACTGTAAACCGCAACGCGAACACCTCTAGTAGTAACGATACCCGGGATGTGAAGTGCTACAACTAAGAAACACACAAGGTATCGATCTAAAATCCATTTTTTGTTTGTTGTAAGAACAAAGACGTGGATTACAACTTGAACTAAAACCTGAAAGAATGAAAAATTATGGGTATCATTGAAGATCAAAATTGACTTCATTTTAATTAAAAAAAACACAATTTTATTTCATTGTTAGTTTCTTTCTATTGTTTTTTTTTTTAATCTAATATTATTTTTAATTTCGTTATTCATCTTCAACATCTATATATTTCGAATGTGTTTTATTATTAAACATAACTTCTCCAACACCTGCCTTACATATTTGCATTGTTTTTTTTATGGGTTATGGAAACATATTTTTAATAAACATTTTCAATTTTTCACTATAACATCTTTTTTAGTTACTCTAGATTATAAAATCTTCATTTAGTTAACAAATCAAAATATTTTGAAAAATATATACATCAACAAATGTGTTATATTTGCTTTTCATTTGATTGCACAATTGAACGAACCACTCCAGGCTAAGGAATGCAAAAATAACAAAATGAAAGGAATGGCTTTTCTTAAGGAATTGTCAATTTGTCCCATTCCATTCAATCGGGCAAATGAAACAGGTTTTGTTCATTCAGTAAGCATGAACCATTCAGTAAAGCAACACATTAATTGAGACTAAAAACAGAAACATAAGCCATATACGATATAAAAATACTTTGTAACTAACATGTCAAAGTTTCAAATTTCACTAACATTATCTCAATTATCAAACATACATAAACATTTAACAATTTATATCAATTTACGAAATTGACCTTTCACCTAGCCCGTTTTGGGCCAAGAGGAAAGGAAACCCGTTGAGGAGTATTTTGTGGCAAATCCGTCCTTTGTTCTTGTGACATGTTTGTTTTAGGGTCACTACCTTCTTCCTCTTCCTCTGTTTCTTCAATAGCTTCATTTGTTCGTTTCCTCGGAATCACAAGTTGATAATTTGGACTGATCAAAGTGTCGGAATCAGGGGGCAGTGCCATTCCTGGTCCGGCTATCGACTTCGGCAACGGAATCTTATTCCGGTTCCTTGCTAATTCCAATAGCACCTTTTAATGAAATCATCCCACAATCAGAACAAGAATACAATATAACAATATACATGAATGATACTGAATCAGGCTCGTTTGTTTTGCCTGATGTAATGGAATTAAGCATTCCGAAGGAATGTGATTATTTACACTTAGTTATTTTTTGCTGTTTAGTGCCCTGTTTGGTATGCAGGAATCACATCAGGAATGGAATAAGATATTCAGGTTAAGGAACAGAAAGACACGTTCAACAGGTAATCTGATTTTCTTAAAATTCTTCTCTTTGTATTTACATATCATATAAAAATTCATCCATTTCCTAAAGGCCAATTCCATTCCATCCAACTAAACAGAAGACCCTTATACTGCATTTGGCATATGCTAATGTGAACAATTCTAATTTCAAGAAATGGCAAAAATGGAATCGGAATCATGATTACCTCTCGTGGAGGAGGTTGGGAGAAGCTGAAGTTGACTTTAGACTGAATAGCAAGCTTGACATCATCGGAATCAATGGTTGACTTTCCAGCATGTTCTGAGTAAACTTGTGCATCGGTCAACACATCGACCACATATCGATACCATAATTCTAGAAACTGGTGAACAACACGGGGTTCATACTGGTCAACCCCCATTGACTTTAGCAAAGTTTTCACAATTTTGGCATCTCTTGGCAAGTCCTCTTCTCCATCAGCCATTTTTAGGGACTTCTTGAACCTTATATATGAAGTGGCGAAAGAAAACTTAGCCCAATTTATTAAAAAAAAATGATAACTTAAACAGTTTGGGTTTTTTTCAAGGGCAACAATACCTTTTGAAAGGATCTAATGGTCTACAATAAAAATGGTTAAAATCAAAATCAAAGTTATTAAATCGTGTTTTTATTAGCCTTTTTGGATGTTGAAAGCTAATGAAATACAGTTTTCAATAAAGGGTAAAATCAAGTATGTTTGAATTTGATCATCTAGGTTAACTACGGATTTATTTTGATACAATATCAAGAACTACTTATCTTTAAATCAATCTTTCTCCACACGTTTTATTTTGAGCTTGCTAGTTACTTATTTTGCTATGATATTATATTTGATTTTCCTAAAACTAAGGGCTTTACAATTCAGCAGTAAATGCAGAAATATAAATATTTAATTTATTAAACGGATTTATTAGAGACATACAAACTAATGAAACCCCAAACACATCAAATAAGGGGGAAAAAAAAGAGAGTATAGTCGATGTTAAAAAATACAAGGGTTTTTTTTTGTATTATCCAATCCAACTATAGAGTTGATAACTTCCTAAAATCACCAACAGATCTAATTTCAGCAAAATTATAAAATCTTTAACAATAAATCACGGACTATCAAAATTGAAAGAACAAAATGTTGAAACATTTTATATTCTAGAGAATTTAGGGTTTTTGTTATTACCTGAGAGGAAGCGGCGACAAGGAGGAAAGGCGGAGAGGTAGACGAGGCTGTTAGCAGCGTTGACAAGGATGAAAGGCGGAGAGGTAGACGAGGCTGTTAGCAGCGGTGACAAGGTTGAGAAGCAGCGGATTTGTTGTGTGCTCGATCAAG